CCACGTAGGAACGCAACAGCCGGCAACGCGCGGACAAGATGGCGAACACGGTTCAAAATTGCAGTCCAGTATATATAGGCTTGGGATGGGTGCAAAGTAAAACAAAATGTGCACAAGTCTGAGTGTGATGTTTGATGGGGTAAAATGTCATGGTCACTACACAGGCCTCCCCCTAGAAGGCTGAGGGACGAGGACTTCGATCGCTGTTGGCTTGCAAATGTATAAAGGCAGAATCACAGGAGTTCGGTTGTATTTGGATTATTTAATCTTCTTGTGGATTGGAATGCATCATCGGTGGGCCGTCCCAGCGGGCACACCGGACTACAAAAAAACTGGATAATCCAGAAAAAGGGCCGGTAGGACCTTTCACCGCTGCTGAAAGACGGTGCGCTTGGGAGAGGTCACTCCCCCCACCGCATTCCAATCCACTGCCAAAACGAAGCTGAAATCCTGTGCGTACCGGCGAGCCGTGGGGGGACCAAAAACAACGAGCCAGGCACACGAGCAGCCAAAGCCAGGAAGGCGAGCCAGACAAACGACCAAGGCGAGCCAAATTGAGCCAAGCAGACCACGATCCAAAGGCCAACGTGGGCGGGCGAGACGACAAAGCGTTGGGGGTAGACCAAAGCATCCAAACGACCAAACCATTGAGAAACAGCCAAGCATTGAACGGACGGACCCAAACGTGCCAGCCTCATGACTTTACCTGATAGATGGGGAAAAATAACTCGGGGAGACAGATTCAGATATTTACGGAAAAGCATAATACAAACGATGAGAGAAAATGAAAAAGATTCATGAGGTGTGGATGAGTTCGACAAAATCGGAGAAACGAACAGGTTTACGAACTCTTCTACCGTGACTGGTATTAGTTTGAGGCGAATCTGGTGACTGGGATTGTGGTGGAGCTGAAAAGCTGGGCGTCGTTACAGGTGGCTCTGTAGATTGCGTTAAGGTCGATGATGGAACAAACTGTTGTTCATCGATGAACGCAGGCTTGACGCGATCTATCGAGACAGTATCCCTTTTACCCCCACGGTCAATCACCAAAGTTTTTGTAGACCGTTTAATAACACGGTATGGACCTGTGTAAGGTGCGGAGAGAGGCTGTCTCACTTGGTCGACACGTAAGAATACGTGAGAACATGTAGAAAGATCTTTCGGAACGTGCACTAGAGTGCGTTGTTCCCTGGGTCTCGCGGGATGCAGCTGACGCATGTGGTGCGTCAGACGAGCTATGTAGCTCTTGTAGTTCCATGCCCTCTCCGGGGTTGGGGCGACTAATTGTCCAGGGAGACGCAATGTGCAGCCATAGACGAGTTCAGCCGGAGCAGCGTTAATGTCGGTTTTGACAGTATTTCGTAAGCCAAGTAAAACGGCGGGAAGCGCTTCGTACCAGTCTGCGTTATCATGTGCACATAGTGCAGCTTTCAGCTGGCGGTGAAAACGCTCAACCATGCCGTTGGCGGCAGGGTGGAATGCAGTCGTTTGGATGTGACGGCAGCCGAGGGTCTGAAGAAGGTGAGCAAATGTGCCTGCGAAGTGCGAACCTCGATCAGTTGTCACAACGGCAGGACAACCAAAGTGTGAGACCCAGCGCTCTAGAAAAGCGCGAGCGACAGTGTCTGATGAGCAATCTGGCATTGGGATGGCATCAGGCTATCTTGTAAAGCGGTCTATACAAGTCAGCAAGTAAGCGCATCCATTAGATGGGGGCAGTGGCCCAACAAGGTCAACATGGATATGGTGGAAACGGGCATCAGGAAGTGGAAATGAACCAAGCGGACTTTTCGTGTGTCGATGAACCTTAGACTGTTGACAACTAAGGCACGTACGAGCCCACTGTCTAACGTCCCGGTTGACGTTGCGCCACACGAAGCGTTGTGTGACGAGCTTAACTGTGGCACGAATGCCTGGATGTGATAAACTGTGAAGAATGTCAAACACAGTGCGTCGGAAAGCTTTGCGGACCACTGGTCGTGGTGAATTCTGCGAAACGTCGCAAAGTATGGTTCCATCCGAAGTAGGCAGTGGAACTGGTCGTATGCGCAAGGAGCTAGAATTACGAAGCTGACGCAGCTCTGGGTCGGTCTGTTGAGCAGCAGCCATTGCCGTTAGATCGATACCTTCAGTAGACGTGATGGAGCTGACGCGAGAAAGAGCATCAGCGACGGAGTTCTGCACAGCCGAGACGTGCCGTATGTCTGACGTAAACTGTGAGACATAGTCCAGGTGGCGTATCTCTCTCGGAGAGTATCGGTCGGATGACGAGTCGAGGGCGTAAACTAAAGGTTTGTGGTCAGTAAAGACGGTAAAGCTTCTGCCCTCTAGAAAAGGACGAAAATGACGGATGATACCAAGTTCGAGCATGTGCTCGAATTCCGCCTTAGCGGCTTTTAGCTTATCAGGGGCGAGACGTCGTGGCCGTGCAGAAACCGGTGGGCCACGGGTTCGTATATGGTGCGTAACGCCAGATGCGACCGGAAGAGTAGCGTCAGCTGAGCGGACGAGCTGCGGAAACTGTCTAAACAGATCTAAAAATTCCTTATAAGCTTCAGGCTGAATGTAAATGGGAGTGACAGAAACACAAGGTGTGCGAACTCCACATGTGAAAAGCTGGGTCTTTTGGTCAACGAGTTTGCGATAAAGCGCATCGACGAGAAGATCGAAGTGTTGGAGGAAGTCGATACCCAATATAGCAAATGGAACGGCAGCGATGGTGAAAATCCATCGAAAGGGACGTCGTAGTCCGAGGTCAATGGTAAGGGAGCGTTGACCGAAGACTCGAATAGCAGTGCCTTTAGCGGCACTCAAGTTAGTTGTCTGTGGCTTAGTCGCGTCGCCTGGAACCGGTGGGATCACGCTAACTTCCGCCCCGGTATCAACCAGGAACATGACACCGGTGTTCCTATCAACGATTTTGAATAGGCGACTTGGACGACTTCGGCCGACGGCGTTCGTCGCCAAAACGTGTCGGCCTGTCCTTTTTCTCGTTACGGGAAATGAGCATGGTTTTATACAATTTCTAGCGGAACTTCCAAAACGTGCGTGATAACGGCAAATTGGGCGTCATGTTCGTCTTCCAGATGGGCTAGGGGAACGGGATGGAGAATCCCGTTGGTGCCGATGTAACTTTAAGCTTTGAACTTCTTGCCGTAGCGCGGCTATCTCTGTTAAGAGCTCACCAGTGGAAGGTGGAGTAGTGGTGTCGATGGTTTGGACCGAAGGGTCAACAGTGAAATCTACGTCAGGTGAGCGAAGAGAACTAGACGACGGACACGGTGGTCCGGTGAAGCGATCCATCATATCATCAGCAATATCTGCAACTTCTGACAAAGGCTGCGATTTCGCAAGCGATAGTATAGCTTGTACGTTTTCAGGCAAACGCTGAAGCCATAACTCTCGAAGCAGCGACTCGTCCATATGCAGTCCTTGAAGAAGACCACGCATCTCTAGCAATAGCGTGGATGGCTTACTAGAACCTAGTTGTAGACCAGTAAAAAGTTTATGCAAGCGGGACTTCTCGGAGGGAGTAACACGCTTTATCACAGCGTTCTTGAGCAAAGTATAACGGTCGGGAGAACGACATGTAATAATAAGATCGCGTAGCGCTATAGTAATATTAGTTGGCAGGCGCGTGAGCAAGTGGTTAAACTTTGCAGAATCGCTAGTGACATGCTTGGAAGTAAACTCAGCTTCTAAAATCATGAACCATAAAACGGGATCTTTTTCAATAAATGGTGGAACTACCAGAGATATCGCTTGCACAGACTGTGAGTCCTAACACTTTTTAGAAACTGAGGCCATGATTTGCGTGGAAAAAGCCAAAAAAATGGAACTAACTCACTGGCTTTTCCTGGGTCAACATACCATAAAACTATTTTCTTGGCACCCTAGAATAACTCGTTTCTCTGCGCGACGCTACGTATACATTTGTTCCGCACATTCGTCTTCCTTCAACTGATAGGTATTACTTCACTTCTATCGATCATTCCTTTCTCACGTAGTGTTCTGTGTCCGTTTTTGCAGCGAAGGTTTGGACACTTACTTATGTAGGAGCCAAGCTCTCTCACAGGATTTTCCCACCTTAGTCGGCCATAGTACTCTACTCTTAGTACCTTCGTGTCGGCTTCTGGCCTGATCCTTAGAAGCTTTTTACTCGGCGTTCAACTCCTATCTATCCGCTGACTAACCACCAATTGAACTTTGAATCACCTTCATCTCAAGCCAACCATACCTTCACTTACTTATTCTGCGCTCCCTATCGAAGTAGGTTGGCTACCAGCTGTTCGTCCACCATACAAACGCCGCTGGTCTTTGAATGCTTCTTTCTGTCGTCTCACGCAATAGTTGCATCACAGCAAAACGCTACTGCTTTGTTTGCTCAATGGCACAACGCTCTGTATTCCATGTAGATGGTAGCAACCAGCCCATGCGGCCATTGCTCTCGTAGAACATTCAAACGACACCTTCAGCACAATCATTGTTGCACCTTTTACCAAATTTGTCTCCATTAAATGCTATACCATAAGACTTTACCAATGTTTGTTTCCATGCCTGTTCGTTTCGGCCTTGTTTTTCTCTCACCTTCCTTTTTCTCCAAAGTCCGAACCTTCTTTGGGATCTGGGATTGGACCAAGAAAGAGTTTTTGCCCGGGACAGTACATAACTTACAAGGACCTACAAAGACCATGGCCGCACAAAAAATGGATACCATTGCACTCACTACCACGACCGCTGTTCAGTAACAATAGCTGGACACGAGGCCTTTACACTCCTGAAAAGTATACATAAACTTGAATACTCCAGACGCAAGAAACTGACAGTTTGCTCACCTGGACCCTCACGTAGACGACTCTTCTTGAGGCTCTCACACTGCGTGGGCCTCAACCATTATGGCGGCCCTGACCAAAGATACCTGATCAACCAGCAGAGGAAATTGGAAGTCAATTGACTGCGAATAACCAGGGGTAAAATTAGTCAGCAAGCTGCTCTTCCAGTTTTACATTAGTGTACAAACGGATTGCTGACCGTGCTCCTGAACGTGGTTGGTTTTCGCCTCGCATGCTTTCTCCCTACAAAAAACCACAGATGTCCGCTTAACAAAACTGTGACGTGGAAAATGTGACCCGCCAATGGATAAAGTCACTGCCCACAACTACATACTGGCAAGTCGACTAGCATCATAATTTAATATTTTCCTGACATGTTAAAGGGCAACATACTCCCCGCCTACATGTATCGTTTTCGTTACACATGTAATTCCAAGATTGTTTACACTACGCACGCTAGAACCCAGCGTGTCATCATGCATTAACGACATTATTCCTCATGATTGCTTGTACAATTTCCAAAGCCCGTACAACTTACGGCTTACTGCCAATTACATATATAGCAACGTGTTTGTTGCGAAACATAATTGCATGTAAATGTTGATCATAGCTGTTTTTGTGTGTCTCGACAAATTCAAGAAAATATTATTTATTTATTCATTTGTTTCAATACAAAACCTTCCAACGTGTGCGACTTATAGTTTACCTACATTACGGGCCGTACCATTCCGTCAGGAAGTGACAGGATCCCAGGATGATACAGTCCCACGCCCAACATGCACCAGCCAGCAAAAGTTATGGGTTTTCCCTGACTCAGCATCATCAACAGCAGTACATCAGCCACTCGAACTGATGCTTCGCTGCCATACAACCATGAGGACCTATGAAATAAAGAACAAGAAGAGGCAGAGAAGAGAGAATTACCTGAAAACCTTCACCTGGTAGACTAAACAAGGCCCTCCTAGGTAAGCGGTGACCAGGCATACGTAGCCTGCACCCGAACCAGTACAACTTATTCAGTGCTATCTGTTGTTCTAGGGAGCTAGCATGATTAGCACTTCCTGGTACTCGCATACGCACATCATCGTTGCGGACACGCAGGTGCTATCCGACACCAGCAAGGCTTCGCAGACAACGATGAGCAAAGACTTGAAGGCGCCTCAGATCTTCAGACCAAAGCGGCCAAGTCTCACTACTATAAAGCAGAACGGCGCTCACTGTGGCCTTGTATACACGGCCGTTCAGACGAAGGGAAACTCAATTCTGTCGCCAAAGATGCCGCAGGTACAAGAAGGTAGCTCTGACTTTTGCAATGCGTGAGCTGACGTCAGTTTCTATGCGCCCATCATTGCCGACGCAGCTTCCAAGGTAAGTGAATTGATCAACCACCTCGAGTTCTTCGTTAGCAAGCGTCAAGGTGTCATCAAGTGGCTGGTGGTCCTGCAGCAACACTTCGCACTTTGAAGGTGCGAAGTGCATACCAAATAATGGGACCACTCTGGACGGGCTATTCAGGGTTGATTGTGCCGCCCCAACATCGTCGAAAAACAAGACGATATCGTCTGCATAATCTAGATCAACTAACCTTTCACAAGGCAGCACTTCAACGCCTACATCGTGAGATTCCGCAAGGGAACACTCCATGATAGAATCCACGACGAAATTGAACAGAAATGGGGAATTGGACAACGCTGACGAACGCCACTTGTGGTCGGAAAGCTATCCGACAGGACATCGTAGACCCTGACGCGGCCTGTAGTGTTCGAGTATAGAAAACGCAGGACGTTCACATGTTTCGTTGGAACACATTTCCGCGCAAGTATTTCGA